ATTACATTTCCTTTCACCACTAGGTGGCGCTCTCACTATTAGTGAATATTATCACATAGACATGTTCAGGGCGGGACTCTTATCAAACATGTGAAGTTTTGTTGAGATTGGATCATGTACGCAGAAGTTATGACAACTTCCTTTTTCATGGCAAGTAACGCCACGCCAAGGGCACGTTGTTCAGCGGCTCTGAGGAGCATTTTGCAATGCTCATAGAACCCCTAGAAAATACGAGATTTTAGTTTGTGTTTTCTATAGCTTCCTACATATCTGTACTTTGTCTGCAGAAAAAATACCCCTGTGGTGATATGCTGTTATATGCCACTGTTGTAGATTGCAGAGGCAGAGCTAGTTTTAACCCCTTTATCTAGTTAGGTAATTTCATTCAGTGCCAGTGTTTTGGTTCATGCATGTTCATGTTTTGAACTATTTAACCATTCCTTTTGGCTATTTTGACCATTTATCAATTTTTAGGTAATGTTTTCAACTATTTATCCATACTCTTGCCTATTTCAACCATTTATTCACTTTTAGCTAATGTTTTAGACTATATATCCATTTATTTTGGCTGTGTTAACAAATTATTTGTTAGCTATTTCAACCATCATTTTTAGCTAATGTTTTAGTCTGTATCTCCATTACTATTGGCTATTCAACCATGTTTCTGTTTCATTTAACTATTTCAACCATTTATATATTTAAATTTATAAATGATTTTATTCAATCATTTACATTTTGACAATTGATCTTTTACTTTTTGCTAGTTTGACCATTTATCCATTGCTTTTGGCTAACTATTTAGACTTATCTGCTTGCTTATTAGCTAGTTTTCATGAACTCAACACTTGCTGTTCAGGTCTTCCAGAAGAATTAATAAGTTGATATATAGTTTTTTAATTAAATTGTAATCTCTTTTTTAAATTTATTTGTTGCAATACTCCACAGTCTCAACGTAAATCTGGGGAGAGGTGAGATGATTAATGTGGTTGGAAAGAAGCAAAGACAAAGTTGTGATACACACATCAATATGTCTTTTTGTGATATAATGCATACCTTTTCTCCTTTTGGTCTCAAAGAGTCACTGAAATGAAACCATCTGATAAGTTGGGGAAATCTCTCTTTGGTGGAACTGCTAACAACTCGTAGATGTGACATGGGTAGTGCAGCTTTTTTGGGGTTACAACCCTGGTTCAATCTTGGTATTTTATACATTTCTTGTTGTTAAATTGTAGTCTACAGCGGTCAAAAACCATAGTGGAGTAAGATAGTCATTTTAAATGTGGTGAAGTAGACATTAAATGGAAATAATAAAGCAAAGTTCCTCAAATTTTTTGTTAAAGTGCAGTTCTGTAGTAAATGCACTTTCCACCACTAATAAAGACCTGGACAAACTGTATTTTCTCTCATGAAAATGAAAGTGCCTCCTTGTTGTCTGAGTCCGCACCCAACATGTAACAAGTCCTAAAATATTAATTTAATTTCTAAGAAAACTCTTTAATAGATGAACAATACTAGGGCAATTAAGACATGTTTTTTTAATTTAATTAATTAATTCTTGGAATAAACAAATATATTCAAACATTTTGAAACAAATGAAGTGAAATCCAAAAAGTCTTGAACAGGCAAAACAGCAAACAATAATACTGCACTTACTGTTCACTGTGGTGAAGTGTTTCCAGAGAGCTAATCCTTCTTGAGGTCTGTTCTAGTCCGTCAGCATATCAGCTGCCAGGAGTTTGGGTGACATATGAACAGGTCATCTTAAATTCAGCCACTTCCTGATAAACAAAACAAATGTGCTGTCAAAACTATTTGAAAAGTCAATCACTCACAGTTGATCCCAGCTGGAGCGGACTACCAGTCTGTGAGCTGACACACAGTGAGCTGGTGAAACACTGAAGCTTCCTCATTTCAACGACTTCCTTGACATTTTAATTCTCTTACTTACTTCCTTTTTTTTTATCTGAACACTGACCAACATTTATGCTGCATGCAGGAAATGATGCGACAGCAAGCACAAGTGACAGCGCTAATTCTCATGCATTTCATCATATTTTAAAATGTATTTTCATGTAAAAACATTAAACACATTATTTAAAAAAAATTATTTTCATTGACAGAATGTTTATTGTTGACCATGGAAGACGGTAAATGGGCAAAAAAAAATGAGAATACTATCTGTAAATGTATTTTTAATATTTGGTGTCTTAAAAATCTGGCCTGTGATATAAGATGCTTTTCATGATATTTATATACAGTGTATATATACATACATACATACATAATATAATAAAATAAAACAGTTGCTATTACACGTTATCATAGAGAAAATTTAATCACACTTACCATGCAATGACAATCTTAGATGAATATTACTGAATATTACAAACATGGAGTTAATCATGTATGATGTACATCATTTTATTGTATGTAATTTGTTGCTAATTACTGTTTATTGTTTTATGGCACAAATAATGCACATAGACTAGGCAGTCGGTGGAATGAATTATATTATTATTATTATTATTATTACTGATCACCTGGTCAGAGTGGTGGGGTATTCTGTTGGGTTGTTTATTCTGCACACA